TCTGATGGAATTAGAATATCGTCGAGATATACCAATGCTACCCTGTTTCTAAGATCTCCTAATGCCTTATTTATCGCCCTCTGGAATACTGCTGGGGCATTAGCTAATCCAAATGGCATGCGCAGATATTCAAAATGTCCGTCAGGCGTAACAAAAGCAGTTTTGTGAACGGATTCCGCATCAATGGGAATTTGATGAAAACCAGACGACATATCTAAGGAGGTAAATACTGAACCCCTTCCCAGGCGGTCCAACTGGTCATCTATTAATGGTAAGGGGTAACGGTAATAGTATGTTGGTTGAGCTCACGAAAGTCCACGCACATCCTGTGAGATCCATCTTTCTTTTTTACAAGTGTTATGGGACTTGCAAAGGGTGATTCGCTCTCCTGAATAATATTGTTGTTTAGCAAGTCCTTAACAATATCTTGAACAATTTTCCTTTCATTTAATGACAAACGGTAAGGACTTCTATTGACAATAAATTCATCTCTAAGTCTGATATGCAATGTGGCGTTGTTTACACACGGAACTGCATTTCCACTGGTTGCTATAATGTGAGAATAGCGGGACAGAACGTCCAGTAATTTGGGCTTATGTATATCTGGAACATCTATATTAATATCAACAAATTGTGCATTCAAAACTCGTGCCAAGTTGTTTTTGACTACTTTGGTACCGGCGTGATCAGTCACCGTCACTATGTCAAGGTCGTCATATAAATTACACCCCACTAATAAGTCATGCTCTAGGAAGCTATCTGGTACAATATTGAAGGTAAGCATTGTTTCGACACCAGTCATTTCAAAATTAGCAACTAGCGATTGTTTCGAAATATAACGGCCCGGTAGTAATCCACTGATCATAGTATAACATGATTCTATTTTGTTCAAAAATTTATTTACATGCCTCTGAGCCATTAAGGAAATATCCGCACCAGTGTCTACCATTCCATTCATTTCGATTCCATCTACTATCATTCTACAACAGGTCCTTTGTTTACCACTGCTACAAAGATTTACATTTCGGCGTTTCTCAATACCATTTTTTATGAAACAATTGTCAGCTTTATGCCCGCTCTTGGCGCAAAAAAAGCATACAAAACTAGAAGCTGTTGAACTTGTCCTAAAATGACTAGTTGAAGCAGAGTTTTTCGCTTTATCTTCGTCTTTATTTTCAGTACAAAATTTTTTGATGTGACCATCTTTACCGCAATTGTAACACGTTAACGGTCTTTTACGTTTTTGATCGCTTTCATTACTGTCACGAAAACGTTTACGTGGAGGTTCTCTAACTTCAGAAATCTTAGTTTCAGTTTTTAAATCTTCTGAGCGTCGCTTAGGAACCGAGCCTAAATACGAAATAAGTTCAGAAATCTTTTTATGATTTTGGTTGCTAGCAGTTAAGCGTATGTCACGTTCCATAATTTCATGAACGATAATTTCCACAAGATCTACTTCCTCCCAATTAGCACGCAGGTTTCTCAAAAACATATGCCTCATATGTATTATGTCGGTTACTGTTAAATTCTGCTGCCTTCAAAAGAAGCTCTCCTAAATTTTTCTTAGGCGGAAAGGCCTCAGAAAAGTCTCTTACAAACACTTCCCAGCTTTTAATGTCTGGCGACCAACTTTCAAACCACGTTTTAGCAATACCGGTCAAAAATCGGCCTAACCTTAAAATGACTTGTTGGTCTGACCATTCAAATTCTGTTTTAATACCTTCTACTTCTGTAAGCCATTTTTTTGTATCAACTAAATTTGGTCGAAAGATCGGCAAATCAACTTGTTCTGGCGCTGTACGAGAAGATTTAAGCACCTTAATCAGCTCCGCGAACAAGCCGGCATTGAAAGTACCAGTACTGGATTCTTCCATGGCGACAATATTTAGCACTAGAAAAATTAACACAAATATACCAGACGTTTTTTCCAAAACTTTTTTAAAAAAATATTTATTAAAATTTATCGCATTAGTTAACAACAAAAGTAAACATTTTTTCATAATGATTAATACAAGCATCTGAGTCAGGTCCCTGAGAGTAACGAATTACATAATGGCTATTTACGTCAAAAATCATATTTTAGGGACCCTAAAACGAAATAACTAATTACTTATAACTTGTAAGTTACAAGCTCTATTCATTAAATAAAAAAAAAATATTTACTCGTTAAAAAATAATAATAATATACAATGCACAATTTAAAAAGTAATCGCTTTATCGCATTAAGCAAGTTATAACATTTCACGTCACGTCAAACTATAAATGCAACACATTATTTATGTTTTACGGGCAGACGGGAGGCAATCTATAAATCAGGCTTTACTGCAACGATTAAATCGTCCAACTCTACACTCAATTACATCACACCCATCTCTACGTACAAAGACTGCACGATGGTGACTCATTGAATTCTGTCAGATTTTTACGCGGTAATTTTACTAACCAACCAATAATTCGTTAATTTATTCGTATGCAGGCAATATACACAAATAATCATATCGACTATAATGCTATTCGTAATTTAAAACATTAAAATGTCATTTATTATACATCTTAAGTATGACAACCGCAAAAAGTCAAATTTATGCCCCCGTCTACGTCAATCGGTCGTAAATGCACCAATAAATAATAAATATTGTACTTACAGTGTGGGCATCCCACTTCTGATAAAAGAAGTAATAAAACAATAAACCAATAGTGGATAAACACACCAGAAAACCATCAACAAACACAAACATCACATCAGCAAATTCGGCAGCTCTCTTTTGATCGAGCGGTACACGTTGAATGAATCGCCATCTCACTTTTTCATTCCAGTACCGACCGTAGGCGGCCGATGTTGCCAAACTTACCTACATTTTTACTGTCAAATTGTTGACCGTTCTTTTGATTCTAACAATATGTATATGTGTTATCACAATGTAATATTACAAATTATTTGTAAAAATGCATAGTACTTTTACGCAATACATGTACTACAATTTGAAATTTTACAAATGATTAGTGTTATTACAATGTAATATCGCATACATATTCGTAACTCGTCAGTGATTTTACAACGCATATTTATATATTTCAATGCCGCTTAGGTACAAACTTAGCAAAAATAAGATTTGATATTTGCGTTGTTTACCTACGTGTTTTTTTTTTACATTAATAAATAATAAATTTAAATAATTTCATTAAACCATTTTCTTAAAATAAATAAATGTAAAAAAAACATGTAGGTAAAAAACGCAAATATCAAATCTCATTTTTGCTAAGTTTGTACCTAAACGGTATTGCAATATGTAGCATTACAATGTTTAGGTACGCGGAATTGCAGTGTCACCAAGGAAATGTTTAAGGGAAAAGGAAAGTAAAGGTAACATTTAAAAGAAATAGCTATGGCTGTTAAAATATTTATAAAAATAAAAAAATAAATCCTTTTTAAAAGTTGTTTCATTTTTAACATAAAAAATATTATTCTATTAAAACATAAAATATAACTCTAAAAAACTAAACATTTCAATTTGAAACCATTACATTGGTGAGTTTAATATAAATAAATTATAACAAAACTAAAAATATTATTCTATTAAAACATAAAATATAACTCTAAAAAACAAAAAATTTGAATATGATTCCTTTACATTGGTAATTTAGTAGGATAGATTGGAAGTCGACTTTGAACAATCGTTCATGATTGCCTTTAACTCGTAGGTTTAAGACAATCATGAACGACTTTCATTATTGTAAAAGATATAGAATATTACGTTTAAAGTTAAAAAATTACCAACTTAAAACAAATCCCCTAAACAAAAAAAGATGATAAGCATCACAACAAAAACATAATATACATCACAACAAAAACATAATAAGCATCAAAAGTAAGATTGACAAAACATGATTTATTTAGAGTTTATTTTTTTTATTAAAGCAATAACTTTTTTTTTTAATTTACTTTTGATCCACTATCGGGATGGATTTTTAGGTAATATCTCTGAATCATTTAAAAAAAAGAGACTTTTTTTTAGGATATTCTAAGTTTAAAATAAAATAAAGTCCAAATGCGGCTGATATGGCTTCTAATATATTTGAACAGGTCATTACGCATTGTTTTTCGAAATATATTTTAAAAATTGATCCCTCGTTGCTTTCTACGATAATAAAAAATTAATGCACTGAGACAAAAATAATAATAATTTTACCTATTTTTAAAATACACGGCGAATTTAAATCGATTATGTCATCTGTGTCTCCTTCCTAAAAAATGTATTAAATTAATAATTATTTTTATAAAGATTATTTTAGTTACCTTAATTTTGTACAGGAAATTATTTAGGTTTTCGTTAAAGTGTTTCGATATAATTTCCAAGGAAAGTTCGTCCTTTTTTTGTGTATTTAATACATCAATTGAAATATGTTTTTTACCAATCCCAAATGATATTATTTTATCTGATTTTAATTGTATATTTGTTGAGAGGTCTTCTAACTTTGCTCCTGTTAATTTATTAAAATGCCAATTAATATGTTTCATCTTAAAAAAAATTCGCCATTCTTGCAATATCATTTGCACTGTCGGCGGATTTTCTAAGTCATTTAAAAATAGTCTTTGGTCGGGATAAGTGTGTTCATAAATTTTTCAAATTCCTCCTCACTTAATTCATTGGGCGAGTAATTTAGTTTTTCTTTTTCCTCTTTGATTACAGCAGAATCTAATTGACACATATTGGGTGCCCAATTTGAACAAGCAGCCATAATATTATGTTTTTTCTTTTTCAAACTGGGTGGTACAGGTGGGTCTATATTACTTATTTTATGAGGTCTCCGTAAATAAGATGATCTTTCAAACAATTTCGAAAATACAGTTGCACAACCATCTCCAATAGGAATACCATCGTCATCTTTATCTTGAAATATGTTTGGATACTTTTGAACTATTTTAGATGCCACATTTTTAAGTATCTTCGATGGTATTAAATATTTAATTTGTCGTAAATCGTTAACAATAAAATGAATTATATCGGAAACAGTAGATGCAGATGGTTTGCCTTCAGCACATTGCTGTAAAAGATCATGGGGCATTTTATTCCGTAGTTAGCCCAAAGAAGTTCCATATTGCAATCGTTAGTTATTTCTAGGTTTATAATAGGTGATATTTCTTGAAGAGGTAGTAGAACCGATTGATTTTGAATTTCTTCAGTTTCTAAATGGACTATAGATACATCATCTGTGTTATGTAACCAATTATTTAATTTACTACTTGTATTTGAAGATATAGTTGCAGTGGTGGCCAGGCTTGTATCACTTTTGTGAGTTTCTAAAGACCATTGTTCATTTTTTTTCAACAATATTAGGGTTTCTTTCTTTATTTCAATTAAAATTTCATCTTCATCATCCAACTCTGTACCATCACTATTAAGGACTAAAGAAGTGCCATCTATTTGTAATTTTTCTGAAGCTAAAAATAATTTTTGTTTAAATTTTAAAATAAACCAATGTTTAACAAAAATATACCTTTTAAAATGAGTTTTGTGTATATATTAGGCTCTGTCACCAATGCCAAAGTTTTTCTTTGACGATCTTGGGACCAAACTTTAAATACATGATTGGACATTGTTTAAATATACTTATGTTATACGGATACTACAACTAAAATTAATAAAAACTAATTCTAAAACTAACAAAAAAAAGTGAACATTTTTCAAGTATGTATATCTTACGGCTAATGTACTAGAACTGTCTATTGGCGACTGAGTAATGTTAAATAATACGCAAAATATTTTAATAATTACAATGGGTAGGGGTGTGTAAGATTATGTTCTAATTCAACACAAACTGATACACCCCAACCCAAAACTATTCATAAATTAGCCAACAATATTGTCGAGATTAAACATTTTGTATATTAGCAGTAGCATAAATAATTATTTATTATAATAAAAGAACTAGGTATATATAGTTGTCGCATCAAATTTGTTCCGTTGCGTCCTCAAGTTCTGAATAAATACATATTAAAATTGTTGTTGTTCCGTAACATTTCATAAATTCGCTACGTTTGTTGAACGTATGTTGAGACGGTGCAAATTATCCTTAAAAAAAAAGTCCAATAATCCAAAAGAAGAAGATAACGCAACGAAAAACATTCGCCGCGACAACTATAATTGTATGTACAAATCAAATAAGTTATAATAATTAACTCAATAAATTATGTTCTACAAAACTTGAAACGGAATAGATTTAAAACCATAAACAAGTTTTTCAACGTCGTTTTGTAATAATGGTTCTGGACACAACAATTTATTCGAATTAAATAGTACACTAGCGTCAACACATTTGTTATCGTTACTATAGTACAAGTCATCATCCTGATCATAACATAAATGAAAAGAATTTCCCAGAAAAAATATTTCATCAAAATTTTCATTTATAAAAATGTATTTGATGTTACACACAATATAGTCACCTAGATAATCAGTGTCATAACATACAACCATTTGTGATTTATATTCAATTCCCTAAAAATAACATGATGAGAAATATAATATTTATCACTAAAAAATAAATCAAAAGTTGTATTAATAAAGTCAACAGAATGAAAAAAATTTTCGGGAAAATTGCATGCTTCAAAGTTTTGTATTTCGCTAAGTGTAGTGTGGAAGGTTCATATGTAATGGTGTGCTTCCCGTCCAGGTCTTTTTCCTTAGATTACTTTGCGGTTGAGTCTTTCAATGTCTAGGATGTTATAGGGGGAGGCAGATGCCTAAGTTAACTCTTCAATGCTTATGTTTAGGTCAATTTTAAGGGCGACCCCTTTACAAGATACCCTGTTATATGGAATATACATGTTGTATCCCATGTCTTTTAAGGTTACATTATCAATAAGGTTATTAGCAGATAGGTAATTTTTAAATATAATACTTACTCGGTTTGAGCCTTTGGAGATAATTTTGGATATATCTTTAAATTTTAATTTGAATAAATATCTTGCAATGGAAAGGTGACTATAATTGCCCACGTTTTTTTTCATCTTTCTTTTTAGTTTCTAAAAAAACTTCGTATGGCGCGAAACTCGACGCTTGGTATTTTAGGACTGGCTTTTTTTTACTGCGTCACCCATATTCTCGTGTTTTTTTTCTTCCGTGTTCACCGTAATTACCTGTAGACTTACCGGTAGAAAAGGATGTTTTAGTCTAAGCGTTGGATCCTAACTAACGAAAAAATTTTAGTACGTGTTGTCTGTACGTTGTCCAACACGCAAATTCTTGTTTTAACTTAAATTTCAATATGATCAAGGGTCTCAATTAGTTCTAAAACTTGAAGCGATAGGTTGGGCTACGGACGTTATCGAAAATCCTCCTAAGCAGTGTAAACGATACAAACGCAAATACCAAAAACGAATCTAAGAATCCCGCAAGTTATCGGAGGCAAGTGAATTAAAATCAGTAAACGGAAAACAAAAAATAAAAATTAAATAAACAAGAAAAAAATAAATAATAATAAGTTTAAAAAGTTCGGGTGGCCCCCGGTTAGGTCACAAAGTGCAATAACGTCGTAAAAGTTTGTGAGAGAGTGAGTGATTAAGGTTAGGTCACATCGATAAGCTACCTGACCACCTGACTACCTGTATAGTCATCACAATCGACGATTGCCAAAGAAGGACCGTCCGCTAGGGATAGGAAAACAGAATCCAAGTCTAATTAGTCCAGCTAAGTAATTTTCCAAATTGCATGACCTAATAACAGTACCAATTCGATTCTAATCCATAAACTAATCGTTAAATACTTATATACACAAACTTCGCAATGTTATTACCAAATTTCATCTGGCTCCAGAAAACAAACAGGTCCCTACACTGAGAAAAGTAAACTATTTCAAGTTTTAATTATTAATTGAACAGTTTTTGCACATTCAATACGACCAATGCGCATAATTGTTTATTTAAAAGTCTCGAAATGTTACCTACAGTCTTTACATTAAACTCGTACAGTTTTTGAATATACATTTTATTACTACAAAAATGTACAAAGATTTCAATTAATGCTGTTCAGACAATAAATTAATGAAAAACTAATATAAGCACTCTTATATAACAACCTCTGATTGTTTGTTTAAGATTTCTTTTTATTTGGTTCAAAAACATAATTTTTAATAAAAATAAGAATAACATTTCCGCAAGTGTTAAACTAACAACCTCATTTTTCTCAGTGTAGACAACCAATAAACAACTTAACCAAATAGAAAAAAAAATAAGAATAAATAAACCAAATCAAGCAGGAACGACACAAAATTTAGATTTATAAATAAGTGTTGTGTGTGTAATAGGTATATATGTATAATATTGTATGTATATGCATTTAAATATAGGCATTAACTAAGATACCAGCACATAAATCAAAGCTTAAAATAAACAAAAGCCTAAAAAGTAAACATCACAGAAGATAAGAAGAGCGACCCTCTCTATAGTCAATGCCTGCCATAGGGCCGTATTCCAATTACGCACACTTCAGGGCCGGCTTTATCTATTTTGTATATTAATATTTATATTTTTAAATTAAATTTGGAAAAAAGTATAAACTCTAATTTAACAATAAAATAAATAAATAGTATACAAGGTCGGTAGCCGGCACTCGGCATGAGGAATATCCACCAAGGCAGAGGGCACTTACGGCGGGTCGTGGCCGTCAACACTTTGGTACTGAAGACAAGATTCAATATCTTTCAGGGGGCAAATAATTTTAAAGATGTTACCAGGAACCGGAAACTGACTCGGACAGAGACGTTCAGAAATACACCAACAAGGACAGGTTCTAGCAGCGTACTAACACTTCTACCCCCATTCATGAATCCCAATTGAATGGGGTTATTACTAAAGCCCCGGTTGAGGAGGATTCCGGATTGTACTTTGTTTTGGGTCAGTTCAATGTCCTCCAAAAAACAACTTTTACCCTCCTTGTCCAGCTCTCCAATAGCCTAAACTGGGCGTATGGCCCGACCCGGCGACAAAAATCCGGGAGTGGCCTTAACCATCGACACTGTCATCCACGACCTCCTAGGGTAGATCTACCAGCTGGCGTAAACACAGGTAATTCTGTACAGTGGCGGGATACGTAGGAGAACGGAAAGGGGGTAAAATAACCCTGGAAGATTAGTGTAAGGAAATGTCGATGGGGCCTGCCATACGTCCCCATACTCATACTCTAATGCAGCAAAAGGAGTAAGTAGTTTCTTTTCTTTAAAATCAAGGAAACATTCATGTTTCTAAAAAATTTATACCTAGAATTCCGTCATACTTAATATTTAAATCACCTAGAAAACATTTAATCTTTTTATTTGGTACTTGTGAGCAAAAAGGAAAATCAAATGATTCAGTAATATGAATTGTAACCTTGTAAAATTAAATTCTCTATATTTTTTATAAAACTAGTTACTATATTAGGTTTCATAACAGAAAAACTAGCTTTGCTATCTATTAAAAATTTTAAAGTTTTATTTTTACTATAAATAAAATATAATTTATCAGTTCCGTCTTTATTTTCATTAATGACATGCTCTCGAATTCTTTGTTCAACTGGCTGGTACTGGGTTTTGGATTTTGACCACGAGGACCAGTTATTTCTCAGGTTCTTTGAAAGTTTAAAGAATTGTAATGAACCATTAGTAATTCACCGCAGTTTTCTGTTACCTGCAAGAGATAGTACATCCACCAGCCAACAGATGCCGTACCATGTACTAAAACAACGAATTTTGACGTTTATTGGAGCAGAACGGCGTCATGTTGTTTTTAGATGATTTCTTTGTGCAAGTTTTAGCTATAAAAGGCGGATTTGGACATTATTAAAATCAGTCTATTGGTGGCTCAAATTCCGACTGGTCGAATACTGGATGGAAGAACCAATACCGAGACTTGAATGCACAAGGACTATTTTCTAGTGATATAAAACAGTAGGTTAACCTGGGGCTTGAATGCTGGGCTTTTATGCTGGGCTTTTATGCTGAGCTTTTATGCCGTATTTAACCTATTTGCCATCCTGTGTAACGTGTCAAAAAGTTTATTTTATAAATTTGTTATTGTTTTGCTAATAAAACTAAAACATACTTATCGGCACTTTATTATTTAGTTTAATTTCCATACTTTACTTGCTGTACTACTTTTATGTTCTCTATTTTGGTTTATTTTCATAACTTATAATATATTTTAAGTGGTATCGTACAGTATAATTTTTCTGTCCTACTTTTGATTTTGCCGGTAATGCCTGGTTAGTTTTATGACCTTTTCTCTCCTTACTAAAATTTTTATTACATTTATTATTATTGTCTAGTTCTACTATTTAATTTACCTTGTTTGTCTTATGTTTTCTACCGTTGTTTTAAGGTACATTTTGCAGGGACCTCGGTTTCCACAAGACTCTTTTCGTTTCCTAAGAGATGGAGTTTGGTTTTAGGAATACCTTCGTTGAGTTATTATTTGTATTTGCCTTGGTTGTCTATATTTTATAATCGTATTTTGATATAGCCATTTTCTGTTTACATTACATCTGTCAAGTAGCAGTGTTGCCAACGTTATTTTAATCGCACACCTAGATTTTATCTGTGGGTTGCAGACTGTAAACTCAG